ATCGTCTTCTTCCTCCATCAGCGACGATCTTACAGGTGCTCTCCCTTGAGATCTCTCTCTCTAGCCACCCCTCTTCCTTCTAAAGATTGAAGCTTATCACTGGTTTATTGCTTCTCACTGCAACCCCACGAAAAAGAGGAAGAAGCTTGACGCTATGCACATTCGTCACTCACAGTATCCTTAATGATGGCAATGTCAAACTTGGGAGAACCATATGCAATTTCGCCAAGTGCAATGTGAGACTTCGAAGAACCCTATAGCCTATGCAGTTTCGGTGAGTGGAGAACTGTCAACCAAAGTGTAGTTCTGTTCAACAATATCCTGCCCTCTGACTCTGTTTTTTCTCAAAAAAATTGAGGGCATTTTAGTCTTTAAACCAAATTTCCAGATTGATACCTCAGGCCCATTTGGTGATTTGAGTAATTTGCATGCCCATTTTGTCATTTCAAATTTCAACAGTCATTTCTTGGTCATTTTCCCTTAAATATTTTAAAGCTAACTTCTGTTTTAGTAATATAGGCCAACCTGCTGGTTAGGGGTTGGCCTATGGTGGGTTTAAAGGCTGATGGTTCGGTCCTAAAAGGACCGACTTCTGACGAGTTGATATTTTACCAACCCAGCCTGCCAAAGTGAGTTGGTGGATTAGGCCGACCAACTCACCACTTTTTTTATGCCTTTTGTTTTCGTTTAATAAAATATATTCCAATATTTAAACATCTAAAATCAAATATACAAATAGAAATTATCATAAATAAACTATGAAATCCAAAGTTCCAAATATCCTAAAATATTAAATATATATGATACATATCCTAAATGCTTAAACATATATCCCAAATTAAAACGTAACAAAGCTAAATCAACAATAACACAAACATAATGTTATAAATTACTATCAAATGCTCAACCATGAGCACCATTTAATGTTAATATAATTTGAAGAATGATATGAAAATGTGAAATTATTTGGTTGAGCTTAATAAGTAGAACCATCTTCTTTTTGCTTAACTAATTTTACCACAAATAAAATTCATAATACAAAGTGAAAGATATATTACATTAGGGTAATTTTAAATAATGAGAATGAGATGAAGGATCAAAGGTGTAAACATAATTATATTTGAATGGAGGGAAAAATTTAAAATAAAATGGGATGGTTGCCAACCTTGTGGGTTAGCCTACTGCGGGTTCGGTCTTAGCAGTTACGGGCTCAAAATATCCATTTTAAAATGAACCTGATTTTTATCGGGTTGGCAGGTTGAGCCTACTAGCTCTACTTTGCATCACCATAGGCCAAAAATAATTTTAAAATTCATAATAACCTTTTAAATAATTTTTCTAATTTTTTTCTTGAATTATTGAGGCCCCTATATATTTTAAATAATTCAATTTTTCCAATCTTCTCTTAATTAGCCAAAATTCTATGAAATTATAGAAAATTTTAACATAAACTATTTTCATGCTATTTTCATCTTTCAGGCATCAAACACTGCTCTAGACCCTTCATTTTATTTTTCATGATTTTCTGAGAATTTTTTGAAATTTCTGGTACACTTGCCCGGTCTGTTCTATCTTGACTAGATATTTTGAAAATGACAGTTCGATCTTCAGTCAAGTTTCAGTTCAAAAGTTATTCTGTCTTTCTGTTTACTACACTACTTGAACCTTGGTCTATTTTATATTCTCTTTTTTCATGGTTAAAATTATGGGAAAACATATACGGGAGTTCTTATACTTGATTTTGAATTAGGTCCTTACAGTTTATTTTCTTTTCATTAGATCCTTAGAATTTTTTCACTTTAATTATTAGTCCTTCTGCTTGTATTCTATTTGCCATTCTAAACGGTATTTGTTTATGTGAGAGGTGACTGCCACGTGGTCAAGCAGAAGAGCTTAGTTTTCAATAGTCTTCGAAACCGATTTTCTTTCCGGCGGCATATTTGATGCTCCGCAACTTCCTTGCTTTTAATATTTCTCCCTGCCAAATGCCGCACAGAGAAGATAGCCCCAACTTCTTTTGAAGGAGGAACCGAGTGATTGGAGGGAAGAAAAATACTTGGGTTTGTCGGCAGCGGCAGAATCGTCTTCGGAGAAGAAGACTGCTAAAAGATTCATGTTCCTATTAATGTTGTTCCCACAAGAACCAGCTGGGAATACTGTCAAAGGCAAGGAACTTGCACAGCATCACATGCCGTCGGAAAGAAAATTGGTCTTGAAAATTATTGGAAACTAAACTATTTTGCTCAACCACGTGGCAGTTACCTTTCTAAATATAAACAAATGCCTTTTGGTGTAGCAAACAGAATGTGAGCAAAAGGACTAATAATTAAAGTTAAAAAACTCTAAGGATCCAATAAAAAGAAAATAAACAGTAAGGATCTAATTCAAAATCAAATAAAATTATAAGGACTCCCGTATATGTTTTCTCTAAAATTATCAAGATGTAACATTTTGAATCATAATAAATATTTTTGCATCCAAAAGTACTTAGTATTCTTTTTTAATATTATAATAAGTAAATTTGCTTTTCTATCCGTCAAAATAAACCAACAGATGCTGAAAGAAAAACCATAACCTCAATGCCAAGCAAGTAAATATCAACCACAAGAGGGAGAATGCAACTTGCTTTCAATAAAAGGAAAAAGCGATTTGTTCGTGAAGATTCATGAGCCACCGTAGACAGGACCGTTAAGAGATGTTGTGGATGGCATTTAACAATGTAGCATATGGCAGGAAGGAGGTCCAAAAAGACAGAATTTTCCATTTGCTTGCTTCATGCTCCGTGACTGGATTCACTTTCTATTTCAGTTTGGCTCCTTTGAATAGTTGGCTTCCAGTTTGGCTCCGTAACTAATCTAAAAAACATATTTTAGACAAGATGTCTTTTTTTTTTTTAAAAAAAAAAAAAGTTTAAAAAGACTACCACTATTTGTAAAAATGCCACCAATCGTATACTTTAAAACGGTTATAAACAGTGTAAATCACCTATTTTATGTAATTCTAGTGTCATACTACCTCCGGTCCTTAATATAACATCCTATTTGACTTTTATTTTGGTCCTAAATATAAGACCCTAATCCACTTTGTCTCTCATATTTACTTAATTTTTTCCAAGATAATCCTTCTAATAATTATACTTCTAGTCAATACTCTTGATTAGCAAGGATATTTTAGGAAAGACAACACCTATTTAGGACAAATAACTAACTCAACTTTTTTTCTTAATCTTCTCAAATTAGTCAATCGGCTCTTATAATTAGGACCGAAGGTAGTATCATGGAATTATAAAATAACTCCCAAGTGGCCGATTTCATTTTTCACATTCAAGTGAATGATTTAATACCAATCTATAAAAGAAAATTTTGTGGGATAAAATTGAGTTACTTGAATTAAGCTTGTTTGATTAGCATTGTGTTTGGCTCGACGGAGGGAAGGAGAGGGGAGGGATTTTGATCAAGAGAAGGGAAGGGGAGGAAAGGAGAGGGTAGCTACAAGAGGGAGGGGAGGGAGGGGAGGGATTTTAATGATATCCTATTTGGATTGAGGGGAGGGGAGGGGAGGGAGCAATTTTAATAATACCTTATTTTGTTCTAATAAAAAATTGACTATTTTAACATCATAAAATTTAAATAAATTTTTTCACTTTTTTTATTTTATTAAGATATAATTATATATATAATGCAATTCACCAATTTTGATTTACAAGACAAAGTTACACATTTATAGGATATCAAGATAAAAGTTGTCAGTGATAGATTTTAATTAAAGAAAAGACTTTGAATGTGAAAGAAAATATTGACGGCTTCTTGGAATTAGAAGAAGAGGAGGAAAAAAAAAGTTTACAAATACTCACTAATTTTGGAGACAATTATCTCAATAACCTCTTGCTAGATGTTTAAAAGAACTCTCTTATATAGAAATGTTTACGACTGATTAGGAGTTAACAAATTAAAAGGGTATATAAAGAATTAAAATATTATCTCTTATCTCTATTTCAAAAAACCCCACTTTTAGGGTGTGTTTGGTTGGAGGGGAGGGGAGGGGAGGGGAGGGGAGCCCCTCCCCTCATTTGGTTAAAAATTTTGGAGGGGAGGGGCTCCCCTCCCCTCCCTCCCCCCATTTTGGCTCCCCTCCAAATTGGGGGTTTTTGGAGGGGAGCCAAAATTTTGGACCATTATGCCCTTATGATTTTTTTAATATTCCGCTTCTACCCATAAAATATATTATTATAATATTTATTTCAAATAAAAAATATATTATCCTAAGTAAAAAAAATAAAAAATATATACATTATTATAATTAAAAATATATTATAAAAATTATTTAAATAAAAAATTATAATATTATAAAATTAATTGTTTTTTATAAATATATTATTTATTAAATATATTTTAAAGCTAGAAAAAAGATAGCCTAAAGAAAATAAAATTTCATTTTTCTTAGAGCATATAAAATTTGTTAATTTGATTATTTTAAATATATTATTATATTAATTAGAATGAAAAATTAATATACCAATTTTTTAATACACATATTAACATGATAAGACTGAATTTTGATTAAATTATATAATTTAAATTAAGATGGAAATTAATTTATATAATATATCAATAAAAAACATAAACTAATATATAAGGGTAAAATGGTAAATTGATTATTACTATCCCTCCCCTCCCCTCCTTGAACCAAACAAGAGATCATTAAATACCCTCCCCTCCTCTCCTTTTCAATCAAACCAAACAAGGTGAGGATGAAACCTCCCCTTCCCTCCCTCCCCTTCCCTCCCCTCAAACCAAACAGGCCCTTAGTGGAGAGGTTAGAAGGGAAGAGGAAGGGAGAATAGCTCCTCCCTTTTTAAAAAATATCTTGACCAAATGAAAAGGGAAATTGTTTCCTTTCTTTCTTTAAAAATTGCACCAGCCAAAACAAGGGAGCAACTTCCCTCTCCTGAAAACCCCTCTGAAAACCAGTACCAAACATAGTATAAAGGTAAAGGGTGAGGGGAAAAGAAGAGAGGAAAGAAAACGCTGCGCGTGCTAAGAGGGGATGCTCAGACTCTTCTTCCTTCACCCTGTGTCTACTCTCCCTTCGTTTTCTGTCGCTAAAAGGCTCTCCCGTCAAATCTTATCTTTAACCAGATAATTCTCACACGTAAATCTTCCCCTACCTCCATGTCCATCAACTTAGCGTCCCACGTTTTTGCTGGCAGCCCTCTAACATCCAAATCCTCAAATCCGGGCAATCCGTTTTCGCCTACGGCAGGTCTTGAAACCATTAAAGCCAGTCTATCGGACAACAAACAATCTGCATGCTCTTCTAATTTCAAAGTTTTGCTTTTCAATTGCGGGAGGCCCTTGGCCTCTTCGATTTCTGTTTCCGTTGATTCGCCGCCGGTTTGGAATCTGGGTTGGATCAGTTTAGATGATCTCATCAGGCTCTTGGAAAGTACTGGTGTTCAACTGAGCGGAGACCAGTTTGTATATCTGGGTTCGCGCGCTGACGACAACGTAGTTTACTGGGCAATCGATGTTTCTGCTGAGCGCAGCCTGGTGCCTTTATTAAGAAGCAAGCAGTTTTGTTTTGTGGAGCTTCGAACGCTCATGGTGGCCACTGATTGGGCGGACCTGCAAGCTATGGGGAACTTGGCTATTGCTGGTCATGTAAGTGATCGTTATATATTTTGGGTTTCTTTGTTTTTTTGTTTTTGTTTTTTATTTGGGGTGCGCTTGTTACCATTTGGTTTTGCATGTTTTTCTGATATTAGCCAAGGCAAGAGCCGTCGATTGTAAATTGCGATGTTATGAAGTATTCCGTATTTCCAGTTACTCGGGAATTAGAAGTTCATCATCATGTTTATCCTATGTAGGGAAATTAGAGTGGAAAAGGTAGCGGAATGTGGGGCCAAAAAGAAGAAGCAGCAAAACAAATTTGCCTTTCTTTTGTCTAAAAGTTTGACACCCAAATGGACACATTTGTGTCCGTTCCTTTTGTTTAGGAGCTGTGCTGTTCTAAAGTGAACGTAAGGGTATGATTTTTGCACACTGATAACAAAATTAAGAGATTCGTATTATTTTTTAAAATTAAAAAAAAAAGAAAATAAAAAGCGATGCTACTAGTGAAATGCCTTGTGAAGAATGAAGATATATGAAGTCAGCCAAGTTATTAATCCACACGGTAGTCTTCTATATTTCTTGTTGGTCTTCTTCACTAATTAATCACTATATGAATATGGTCACGGTAGAAGAAACGGATGAAAACTGAAGCGTTTCAAAAACAGATAAGGGATGAAAATTTCGTAAGAACAACTTAATCTAGGTATGATGATTATTCATTAATTATCAGATTTATGGGAAGAAATGGAATAAGGTGTGAAAGTCTGCTTTATGAGCAATCATGTTACCCCATGATAGATTTACAGCAAAAATTTTAAATTTGGGATAAAAGGATGATACATACTCTATAATTTGATGAGGCCTGAGGGAATTGAATTTAGTGTTGTGAAGAGTAAGGGGTGTAATGAGATCCCTGTTACCATTCATTTTTATTTTTTCCTTTTTTTTTTTTTTTGTGAGACGTACCAACCATTTTATGGAAGCCATATTGTGCCTTACAAATTGAGCCACGTTAGACTACAGGCATGTAAAGTCCTATTTAATTTTGAAATGTCTCTAAACAAGGGCTAACTTTCCTCTCCATTGTTTCTTATTCGATTCTGTTCTTTCAGACTTCAGTAAACAGTACCCACAGTGAACTAACATATGAAATTACTTGGTTGGGCCAGGCCAGAGCACTGCTGGAATGGCATAATTTATCACGTTTCTGTGGACATTGTGGAGAGAAAACGCTTCCTATTGATGCTGGGAGGCGGAAGCAATGTTCAAATGAATCTTGCAAAAAAAAGATATATCCACGAGTTGACCCGGTTTGCCATCTTATGATTCCAACTTGTAATGGATCTGTCGATGATTATGTATTTTGATGACCTCTTTTAATCCAATCATGTGCAGGTGGTAATTATGTTAGTCATTGATAGAGAAAATGACCGTGCCCTTTTGAGTAAACAATCAAGATTTATACCAAGGATGTGGAGCTGCTTAGCGGGTTTTATAGAGGTAAATTTCTGCCGCATCTTCTAACTGCCTTTTCTTCATGGGGACTTTGTTGCAAGACTTCGGGATGTGCTAGCCCTAGTTCACTAAGTTAGAATTAGTCAGTCCAAATTAATTTTGTCATTTACTGTCTGATTTTATTTTCCTATTTCCATGATCTTAGGAGTTTTGAATATGATCCTCAATATTCCTAGATCAGATTTGATCACAACGTCGGATTGGGTATCTCTATTGAACAATTTGATGCCAAAATACTGTATTTATTCTATTGATAGGATACAATATTTTATAGATAGCATAGGAAGATTCTAGGATCACGAGAGATTACATAATTAGGGTAAATTAGAATTAAATGGGATGAATTCAAAAAAAAAAAAAAATTAAAAGAAATCAAATCTGCCATAATCTTAGGGATTTGGCGTTAGCTAATCTTAATCATTAAATGTAAGCTGGATAGGCCTAAAGCCCATAACTTCGTCAACACTCCCCCTCAAACTAGCGAATAGATATCTATCATTCCCAGCTTGCTTTTGAGATCTTCAAACTGTGGTCTTGCTAGAGTTTTAGTGAAAAGACCCCCTACTTGACAATGTGAAGGAAAATGTGTTATTTCTGTAATTCCTGCATCCTTTTCTTCCTTAATGAAGTGTTTGTCAATATCAACATGCTTGGTGCATTCATGATGGATGGGGTTTCTAACCATAACAATTGTAGACATACTGTCACACCTTAGTCTGATAGGTGTATTTGATGCAAATCTTAATTCCCTTAGCACTCTTATTATCCATAATCCTTCACAAACCCCATGAGCTAAAGCTCAGAGTTCTGCTTCCACACTGCTTCAAGATACTACAGTTTGCTTCTTGCTTCTTCATGTAACAAGATTTCCTTATACTATTGTGTAGTAGCCTGAAGTAGATCTTTTATCAGGTAGGAACCCCCCATGATCTACATCAGTATACACCATAATTTCTCTTGACTTTTCTTTTGCAAAGCAGAGTCCCCTAGTGTCATTTTCAAGTAATGTAGAATCCTGTAGACTACATTCATGTGTTCTTCAAGTGGCTCATTGGTGAATCTACTTACTACCCCAACTGCATAGCTTATACCAGGGCATGTGTGAGAAAGGTATAGAAGTTTACCAACTAGCTTCTTGTACCTTTCCATATCAACTGGTACTGTTTCATTCTTTGGCTTCTTTTTCTTCTTTCTTCCTCTGTATCAAGAAGTTTGTAGGCTGGTTCCATAGGGGTTTCTGCTGGCTTTGCTCCCAGCATTCCTATTTCTTTTAACAGGTCGAGTGTATACTTTGTCTGTGACACAAAGATTCTTTCTCAGGATCTTGCTACCTTCATCCCCAAGAAGTATCTAAGTCTTCCTAGGTCTTTTATTTCAAATTCGTTTTCCAAGGACCTCTTGAGTTTGGTTATTTTATCAATGTTATTTCCAGTCAGTATGATGTCATCAACATAAACAATGAGGATAGCCACTTTACCTCCTAAGTGTTTAACAAATAATGTGTGATCTGCCTGGCATTGAATGAATACCACACTCTTCGCTGCTCTTATGAATCTCTCAAACCATGCTCGGGTGACTATTTTAGGCCGTAGAGTGATTTGTAGAGCTTACATGCTACTCCGTCAATCCTTGAGGCACATCCATATATACCTCCTCTTCTAGATCTGTATTTAGAAAGGCATTCTTTACATCAAGTTGATCCAGTGGCCAATCTAAGTTTGCTACTAGTGATAGGAGTATTCAGATTGTGTTCAACTTTGTCCCAGGAGCAAATGTCTCTTGATAATCAATGCCAAAGGTTTGAGAGTATCCTTTTGCCACTAACCTCACTTTGTACTTGTTTCTTGTTCCATTAGGATTGTATTTCTTTGTAAACACCTATTGGCACCTAACTATTTTCTTTCCTGTTGGTGGTTTTGTGATTTTCCAAGTCTGGTTCTTTCTTAGGGCATTTAGCTTCTCTTCAATAGCCCTTCTCTAGTTCGAATCAGATATGGCTTCATGAAACATGGTAGGAATATGTTCATCTACTAAACGAGTTACCAAACTACGCATAGATGGTAACAGATGTTTATATGTCACAAAATTGCTTATAGGATGTCTAGTGCAGGATCTTTCCCCTTTTTTCAATGCAATTGGCCATGCAAGATCATCAAGACCTGTAGTCGAGGTTGATTCCTAGTATTGCTCAGTTCTAGAGGGTACTTCATTATTGTTTTGATCAGTTCCAGCGCCTGTCTCCACTTGTTATGGGATGTTCTGATCTGTTTCTCCATTTCCAGAGTCCTGTCTAGCTCCTTGTTGGCTCAACCATCATTGTTTAGACCTGTTTCCAATATGTCCAGATCTGGGTTGGTTTGATTTGGTTGTGGTTGAGGGTGATTGATCAAGATAGGCTCAATTTGAGGTGGTGTGATAGGAGTAGGAGGTGTGGGTTGGAAAAACTTCCATTCTTTCTCACTCTCCCCCTGAATGGGTGTTATGGGGTAATAGGCTTGAGTTTCATCAAAGGTGACATCCATTGTAACAGAATTGTTTTTGAGTTTGAGGTTTAACGGAATAATTCTGTATGTTCTGTTCAACTGAATGGGAAAGAGTACAGCATATATAACCGAATTGAGATAACAAAGGATAAATAAAGATATATCTTACAGATCATGCTATTTGTCCTAACAGTAACTATCCGATCTAAATAGAAAGATACATAAGTAAACTAAAATTACTTAATAAGTAAAACTAAGTTTATTGGGCTTGGGCCTTGGGCCTTGTCTTCCAATACTCCCCCTCAAGCTAGAGAGTAAATGTTGACTATTCCCAGCTTGCTCTTTAGTCCTTCAAACGTGTCCCTTGGTAACGGTTTAGTAAATAAATCTGCTACTTGACTTTTGGTTCTGACGTAGGCCAATTCAATCGTGACTGTTAGAATCAAAGACCTCTACTAGCCGTGGCAATCATATCCCCATATATCCTACCCTTCCTTTTCTAGTACCTAGAATCTCAGATAATAAGTGAGGCAGATCAAATGTAATCAATCATATTTAATGGGATCAGATTTCTAGCTATTTTGAAAATGGGAATCTAAGTCCTATATATGTACACTTCTACATTCAGAAATACACATAGAATTCAAAATACATTTTCCCTTTTCAATATGGTATCAGAGCTGCAGAAAAGAGGAAAATGAACAGCGATCAATTCCCACCTCTGTTTAGGTCTCTACAGCAGAACCCAACAAACAGAGGGCCGAACTCAACAGCCCTAATGGCTAGTTCAACCACTGCAAGCGAGTTGACCACATCAACTCCCTGCAACGCGTCAAATTTTGGAAATACCCAAAGCTCCAGTAGCTCGATTTTGTCACCTCTGATCACCTCAATGACCGAAAGTCCACAACTGGTCACAACGCACAAACTAAATGGGAGTAACTATCTCTAGTGGTCACAGAGCATTCTGATGTACCTTCGAGGTAGACGCAAGGAGAAATACATCAATGGCCAAGCTCCACAGCCCCTGCCCAGTGACCCTAATTTGACGCTTGGTTCGCAGAAAACAACCAGGTCATGAGTTGGTCATGCAATTCAATGACTCTTGAGGTTAGTGAGGGGTACCTGCTCGCACAAACAGCAAAAGAGATATGGGACACCACCAAACGGACCTACTCCTCAATAGATAATACAGCCGCATTGTAACACCTTAAGAAACAGCTTCGGGAACTCAAGCAAGGTACAATGACTATAACCCAATACTATAGTGCCTTAATGAGAATTGGGCAACAATTGGATCTGTTTGAAATTTACTCATGGAACTGTGTGGATGATGCTCAGTACTTTAGAAAACTTATTGAAACAGAAAGAACTTATGAGTTCTTATTGGGACTCAATGACACCTTTGAGGATGTTAGAGGCAGGATCATGGATTTAAAACCATTGCCATCACTTTTTGAGAGCTTTAATATGGTGAAATGTGAAGAAAGTAGAAAACAACTCACACAGATTTCAGCAGCACAGAATGAGGCGTCAGCATTGGCAGCTAGGGGCACAAATACAATAGAACCAAAAAGGAAAATGAAAAATGGTGTGATCACTGCAGTAAGAGGGGTCACACAAGAGAGATTTGTTGGAAATTACATGGGAAGCCACCAAATCTGAACAATAAATCAAGAACAAAAAGGAAAAGCTATCATGCTGAAAAGGAGGAGGAGGAAGAAGAAAAGCTAAGCCCAGAAGAGGTACGATTGCTGAGAAAAATTCTAGACAAGCAACTTAGCACTCCCAATGTCAACCTAGTAAAATCAGGTAACTATAATTGCCCTGAATGCTATGGTGACTAGTGATGATGTATGAATTGTTGATTCTGGAGCCTTAGATCATATGACTGGTAACAAATCCTTATTTACAACTATCAAGCATTGTCATGAAAACCTAAAAGTTAGGGTAGCAAATGGTATTAGTGCACGTGTGTGTGGTCTTGGAGTAGTTAAGTTATCTGAATACCTAACCATACATAATGTGTTATTTGTACCTGAACTTGCCTGTAACCTCATTTCAGTAAGCAAACTAACCAAAAATCAAGTTTGTCAAGTCCTTTTTGATGACTTTGGCTGTATTTTTTAGGATCTAGCTTCGGGGAGGATGATTGGCAAAGCTAAAAAGTGGAATGGACTATACTATTTCAACATGCATAATAAGGAAACAAGACTAGCCATGGCAAGCCACCACACACAAAGTAAAGATATCTTATTGTGGCACCATAGGTTAGGCCACCCTAGCCTTAACTATATGAAGTATTTGTTTCCACATCTAATCAATACAGAAAACACTGTTTCTGTCAGCTATGATACTTGTCAGTTAGCTAAGCAAACAAGAAGCACTTATTCAAAACAATCTTACAAGCCCACCGCTCCTTTTACACTCATCCATAGCGATATTTGGGGTCCAGCCAAAACAAAAACACTCTCTAACGCTGTTGGTTTGTTACTTTTATTG